CAGCGTATCTTTTGCGCCACATAATAGCTTGTAAAGTTTGATCATACCTGAGGTGCTATGGCTGGATGAATTCGAGAATAAAATATTTATTTACCACCGGATACTCCTGCTTTTTAAGAGCTTGCTTAATTGTTGTTTCGACGACACGGTGTGATCTATCGGCTAACTGTCCTAATCGGCTGCGAGATATGCGAACTCGCGATGAAAAGAATGTAGTTAAATCCAAAATACTAGGCTCGTGACCGCTGAGCGTTAACTGATCAACGATTTCGGCCCGTTTGTACTGCAGAGGTTTCGGTGAGTCATGAACTATTTCTGATAGGGTGGTGGAAGAGCACATTTGCCTCATGGCTCATTTGTTCTAACGTTACGTGGCAGTTCTGCATCTTAATGGCCAGTTCCGACAGCACGTCGCGTTGTAGGGAATTGCCCTCTCGCTTTGAAATAGGCCTCCTATCGGGGCCCTAGCGATGTGGCCAGATTGTGTAAAGAGGTCACGTAGGATTCATCGGGCTCTCTCATAATCGTTACAGGGTGGCAGCATTACGCAGTTACCTATAACCAGTCTAGCTCGCCTCTTACAGTAAGGAATGAGGTAGAGTAGATGTCTTCTGCCGCCTACAACTTTGCACTCCACGTAGAACACAAATTGCTTTATGAACCTCTAGTAATCAGCCGGGTGCCCATCAAAATAAACCAGCTCTACTTTAGGGAGACCCGTTTCTGCAATTAGTGGGACAAGAGCTGACGCTATGGCGTTTCCCAACGTGGCTGCTGGGCAGTCTACCGACGAATCGGCGTAACGGTAAGCGGATGGTTGATTCGCAGCCGCCACGACAGATTCGGTGATAAACTTGTCAACTTTTTGACGAATGGGCTGGAAATACGTGTAAGTCTACGTCGCCTTGTTCCTCTTCCAGCAAGACATTATAATGAGCGAATTCAACCTCCTGTCTAGCCTTTAATAGTCTACGCTGCTTTCTTAGTTCCTGTTCCTTAGCTTCAAGTTCTAACTTTCTCTTTTGTTGCTTCTCTTTCAACTCAGCAAGCAGGAGTTGTGAGTGCGTACTACTAGTTGTATTCCTAGAGCTAGCCAAAGAGCCAGAGTGGGAAACGGCGTCAACAAGGGACTTGCCTTGAATTGTTTGAATCCTTCGTCAATAGAGGTTCGCGGGTGATTGGCATTGCGATTAACCGAAATTGAGCACTGTGACAACTAAAAGGCTGTCCTTAAGCCACGCGTACCAATAGATCCCGGGGTTCGACTCCCCATCGAGGCATATTATTATGCGTGAATTTTAATCGTGGCTTCTACTTTCTTCGAACTTTACACTACTCACAAACATCCACCATTTATCTACCATCGCCCATTGGACGTCTGAAGGACAGGAACTTCGGTCTATTGGGAAGTGACGGGTGAGTGAGCCAATCTGCAACATCAGGACAGGTACTGTGAGCTTATTGGCAACACGTCGCGCACCAAGCAGAAGACGTGTTAAAATTTGCGCACCTAATCGTCAGCCCTCGGTAGCTCAGGTGGTAGAGCAGCGGACCGGAAATTCGTGGACCGGGGTTCGACTCCCCGTCGAGGCATATTATTGTGCGTGAATTTTAATCGTGGTTTCTACTTTCTTCGAACTTTACACTACTCACAAACATCCACCATAGATCCCTAATAGTTCAAAAAACAAGGTGGATCCAAGATGTACGGTGCTATGTGCATAACAGTAACTACATAATACCACACACCCCAATTGTAAGCGTTCTGGGTGAGCAACAACTACGTTAGAGAAAGGCTCAGCAAAAGGTCATAATCGACCGTTTGTCAACAATCAAAATTGCGTGTGAGCGCCTGGATAAATCACCTAACCGATGCAGTGTGTGGACAAACGTTCGGTGGAATGCGAAGCACTCCGGTGCGGTGAGCTGTCACGTTTGGCGAATAGGGTTGAAGCACCAAAGGCAGCCTTCCAGTGAATGGTAGACGATCGAGGTCATTGTGCTGTCGTACACATGCATGGGGGAGACTTATAGAAGTAAACATGTACACACATGACGCGTATGATTTGGCTTCAGGCATCCGGCGAGGTAATGGGTAGGGAAAGGTTTACACAATGAACGCCGGTCGATATCAATCGGACAGCAAGAACAGAACGTTGTTATGCCCGACCCCGGGTCAAGTGTAGGAAAGTTAGGAGCATCTATTGCGTACTTAATCATGTTACACCACCAGAAACAAGGGTAAACAATAACAATGTAAACAGCCACCAAATCATGGGTGATTATCATGCTAGGTTGTTCGCAGGAAGCATGACCTACAAATGCCTATCGTGAAGTAAAATTGTGGGATAAGGTTAGTTTTACTCCGACGAGTTCGTTTTCCACGAGCATGGACGAAGCACTACAGTATACCGCACGTGGGCATCGTGGAAGTGGACGAGAGCAGCTGATACCATGCAATGGAGGTTCTGTGGCCCCTTTTAAAAATCGGAGGGACAGGAAACATGCGCCGAACGGACGACACTTCATCCTTGAACCAAACGTTGTAGGACGGGGTAACCCGGATGTTCACCAATGCGTCACAACTACCTTCAACATTGACGTGAAGTCGGTCGGACCTGTTATCTTGTTCAGAATAAGCGGCGCTAGCTTGTGTCGGATTACATGGGAAGTGAGAAGTGTTACGTCGGCTTTTCAGATGTGTTCAGACTGACCAATTATCAATTCTGACACACCGTAGAGGCTGAATTTCCCCTCAAAGTGCTAGGCCTACATCTCTAACTAACAGGGGTAAGAGGCAATTATTCCTTTTTAGCTATCGTTTCACTAGTGGGAGTCTTTGTTGGACCAGTGTGTCAAATAAGCCGGTAAAGTGCTCACACATTTTCGATAGCACTAGCAACGCGTCAGCTCGTGTTCTGAACCCAAAGCGTCTATACGGACTGGTTCACTTGTCCGAATACATACCGATCAGCTACTCCGACTTAATTTGTACGACCTCACCGTGATTAATTGGAAGATGCAACAGAACAGCCCGTCAACATCTTGTCCGAAAGGCCCGATGAGGAAAACTAATGGAGTTGATCAGGCTGGTTAATGTCGTCTAGGTGATCTTGTGATCAGCTATACTGGAAGCTGTGTACCGCGACTAACCTAAAACCATCACATAGCCCACTGCAATATTCAATACGGTAACTCGAATGTTTTTATGGCGTAACTCCCTTCACGATTTCTGGCATTTCTAGCATTTCTTACATGTATGAAGACCAAGTAGGCCACCACTTCGACCTAGGGAACGTGAAGAATCCAGCAAGTGGAAATTCGGGGCAAGTTAGAGTATTCCTGGAAGCAATTCAATCAACCGACGAGTTGAACTGGATGCTATATACGCAGCACTATGGAGGAAAGATCACCAATTTAATCAACTAAACTGAACAGAATAGAAATCAGGACAAAGACGTCAACGACAGATTTAGCGTGTTAAAACTACGAGGTACGGATCACAGAGATAAGTTTTGATGGTCAAGTAGTCACGAAAAATTCTAAACCAACACAAACGGCTTGTCCACCTAAATGATCGATCAGGTTCACTGATGCTTCGCAATGTATAGCTTCGCTGCGCTGCGTATTAGTACACTGATGATGAAACATTTGCAGCAAAACTACCGAGCCCGGCGTACACTCCGACCACCAAGTGAACAATCAGGACTACCGTTATTTGCTTCTATATCATATGTACGCCTATCCCCATTTCACAGCACATTCTCATGAATTTTTGGCCAGTAGAAAGCGGCGGTGGGGACTTTACATTAAGGCAGATAGCGATAGCCTACCCCTTCGCTTTTAATCATGAGCCGAGGTGGGAGAAGTTAGGAAAAAACTTGAACAACCAAATTATTCAGACAGTTAATGAGTGATCATAAAAGCTGGGAATCTGATGTCAATAAGCCCACCTTGTTCCGTCGTCTTCTTTCCCTTGTGACTAGTCATGTCAGTGTCCACATAGCCAGGACAACACTGCGAAAGAAGACAGAAATCTAACACATCGGTGAACGCAAAAAGACAATGGGAAAAGGGATAAACTTTACTCGTAAGGTTACTATCCCAAGGCGCAGAGGGAAAATAACCAAAAGCTAACATCGTGAATTCTTTCAACAAAAACTTTATTCGGTCATGTCATGCATACGGCCAGAATATGTAACAACCACTAGTCCTTCAGCGGACTAAGTTATCCAGTTTCTGGAACTACTGTTTGATGAATACTAACTACATCTACGGACATGCGCAGTTACTTGGTCTACCAAGTAGCACCAGTGGTAACATGACAAGCCGAATTAACACGTGATACTTGGTATTCAACTGATAGGTGGATCGCCTAAGAATTATTTCCCGTCTGCCCTTTGTCGCAACGACAAGCCCTCCGAAATCCCAAAACACAGAAAATGAATTAAGCTATCAAGCGGTGATAAGGATTTTATGCCGTCGTTGGAACAATACACTTATTAATATATGCGCCACGATGCTATTTTCCAGTAATCACAGCCCCTACTGGTGAGTCAGTGGCAATGACGCAATAGAAGTTGCAGCCTCTTAAGATGAAAACAATGAGATTCATCCAGCCGCCCTTCCCGCGGAATGAAGCGTGACAGACACAGGTGGAAACAGCCAAGCAGGCATTCATGGGAAATAGCGATTCATGAAGATATCGGGAATGGGTTAAATATTCAATGTGTCCTGCTCGCAACATTGCAGTGCACGACTGGGCTCGTTTTGCTTACACTGTGACTTGAACCGATGATGCTTAAGATGCCGATCGACCGATGCCTCTACCCACAAGCCGCCGTCATCAACGCTTGTCGCAAGGGAGTGGGAATCATTGGAGTTGCTATTTGAAGTTCACGTTGCATGAATAAATTGTAAGGCGCAATCTCACTGTGGACTGCGATTCACCTTGAAGTAAACCTCAGTCAATTCGGTCACTGGAGTCGTATTTGAAGCAGGTGTTGCCATTCACAACCGGTTTTGCTACCGAAAGCAATCACGCAAAAATTTTACCGTTCTTAGAGATTGCCCATGCGAGCGACTGGAAGAGAGTGCTACAGTCCCGGCCTGATGTAGCGTCGCATCAAGCGGAAACGATGACAGTAAATGTACTCCGAATGGAGACAAATGGGAGAATAACAAGCCAGTGAAAACAACCTACCGCATTCATCACGATATGTCGAGGGTCATTCTTCAAGGTATCGCCCAAGATGTAACAAGCCTTACTCAGAGCCAACTTGGACACACCGTAAGTGGAAGATGGCCATCCGTGCTGTTCATGGTCACCAGCTTCGGCGTGTCTGCAAAGGGACATGAAGGTTGGTCAGTAATAAGGTTACAAGAAGGGGATTGATGCTACATCGAGTGATTTGGTAGGATTATGTGGTTTTATACATATTCCGCTGGACCATATTTTATTGTCCAAAATCATACGTGAGATTATGAATTCCACATCCGCTCTCGCGAATCCCGTATTCCTGAGCAGCGGTAGTTATGATAATCGTACTATGTACCGGTACTTATGGCATCAGTCTCCGCTGAATCATGTCAATTGAAAGGTGAAAGATCGTAGGACGTGTTCACCGGAATGCAAACTATCACCCCATTACCAATCTTCCTAAATTGCTAATGTCTTGGAATTTGTCATCGCAGGAGCACTCATGAGATCTTTATAGGAACAATGATGAACAATAATTTGTAACGGGTAAAAAATCAGTTGGTTGACATGTCCCGTAGGATGGTTAGTGTGAGAAAAGATAGATCAGGGATAATGGAATCGACGGTTCGGGCGTTTACAGATTTGACTGCCTTGCCGTATAAAGTGAGTTTAAAATTAGAGTGTGCGCACACAAAGTAATAAGGGGAGTGGTTATTGATCACGTAGTAAGCGAGAAATACAAAATAAAAAGAGCAAGGGAAACGCTTATTCGTGTGCAGCTATTTAGGGAAGACATGATACAGAAATCCAGTTTCTACAGTAGTAGGGTTTATCAAATTTTGTGCAAGGAGTTTGGAGTGACTCATTCTCGAGTACGGTTATGGAACCGCGCACAGTTTGTTGTGCATAGTGCCAGCATATGGTGGTCATGGGCTATAGCACGTAGTGTAAATGTGACAGAATATCGTCAACGTTTTTCGAAAAGAGGTAGGGTGGGAGCATTAATTACATGTTCCGGGAGGGCGTTCCAAGGCTGTGACACTCGAAGGGAGAAATAGTTTCGCCGACATTCCAGGCGGCTATATGGCCCAAGCAGCTTAAACTGATGACCACTTAGCGGGGTGTTTTGACTGAGTATCAGAAAGGAATGGCATGGGTGAGTGGGGTTTTTCGGGATCTGGTACACCATTATGGGATCGCCCCTTAGACGCCGATAACGTCCACTGTATATTTTGAGACGTTTCAGCCTGAGTGGGTAGGGGAGGCTGGTCAAACCTATGATGCACTTCTTTGCCCTACGTTGTGCAGTATCAAGCGCGGTGAGATGGTGCTTGAGCCAGGGTTGCCACGCTTGAATAGCGTATTCCGCGTGAGGCCCCACGTACGCACTAAGCATTGTTGGAAAGACTGAAGGCTCAAACTTCCAGAAAGCTCTACGAGAAAGGCCGAGTTACTGATTTGCCTTCTTAGATGCTTTTCAGTCTGCCTCAAACAACCGAGGACATCTTGAAGTAGCATGCCGAGATTGCACTCGTGAGAAGCCCGCTGTAGAATTTGTGGTCCTAGGCGGTACTTGTACATACTCTTGTGCCGTATGCTGAGAACTTTGCACTTGGTGACGTTGAAATGCCGCATGAGTTCGATGGACCAAGTGTATGCTTTGTCCAGATCCTCCTGCAACGCTGTGCGATCCACCACTGCAGCTATAGTACTCCATACCTTTAGATCATCTGCAAATAGCAGACAGTTAGAAGATAGCACGCTCGCAAGATCAGCTATGAAAGCCAGGAACAGGCGGGGGTCCAATTACCGAGTCCTGAGATACGCCGAACGGAATTTCGATGGATTCCGATAGGTTGCTTCGAACCCCCACATTCAAGTGACGTTGCACAATAAAGTCTCCTATCTAGCCTAGAACAGGATCGCGGATTCCATATTTATGGAGTTTGTGGAGTAGAATGCGATGGTCTAGACCGTTGAATGCCTTTGAGAAATCCAGGTAGGTTGCGTCGACTCCTAAACCGGCGTCCACAGATTCCGTCCAGCTTGCACGAGCAATCAGCAGATTAGTGGTACAGGGCCGATTTTGGCGAAGTCCGTGCTGCTCCGGAACGAGAATTTTGTTGTTCTCTAGGTACCCATCAAAGCCTCAGCTACAATGGACTCCATAATCTTGGAGATCACAGGAAATAGTATTATCTGGTGACAATATGTTGGTTCAGCACGACTGCCAATTTTGTAGATTGGCGTGATGATTCCGTGCTTCCACATCGTGGAGACGTGTGTCTTGTTCAGACATCGTCGAAAGAAAATTGCTAGTGGCACCGCTAAACCCATGGCAGCAGCTTTCAATGCCTTCGGGCGAAGGCCGTCCGCACCCGGGGAGCTGAACTCGCGCAGATGCATCAGCCACTTCAGTACAGCTGCGGAGGTAAACGATATGTGATTAAGCACTGATGGCGGCGTTAACTGCTTAGGCGGGATGTATGATGGTTGCACGCTTTGGAAAGTACGGCCAAATTGTTGTCCAAGTGTGTTGGCCGCCTCTTGTGCGGTTTGGGCTAATCCGCATACTATGTGCAGAGCAGGAATACCGCGTTTAACTGGGCGCAAATTGTTTACATGTCTGTAGAAGACTTTGGGATTGGAGCAAAACTTTGCCACTAGACCTTGTTGGTTCTTTAGTTTATCCTTCCGGACGAGTTTGACACAGTGATTCCTTTGTATTGTGTAGACATCCCAGGTATCGTCGTTCGCGGAGGCTATTTAGGTGCGCCATACCAAGTCCTTTAATGCCATGCATTTATGTATGCTGCTCATTACGAAAGACTACATCCTTTTAGGCCGGTAGAATTCAGTTTCAGATGGGCTTGCCACGAGCTTGTTAAATATATTGACGAATTCTCCGAAGGTCACCTCCGCGGTCAATTCGGCTCAGAATGACCAGCTTATTGCATCAATGAGGCCAGGTCGTCATAGTTGGTTACGACACGATATTCCTCGGCATGCTTTTCAGGATAATCCGCGTAGCACATGTAATGAAAAACTAGCGTCGCATGATCGCTGCGGCCCAAAGGAGTATCGGTTATCACTCTCTCGACCATCAGTTCTTCATTAGTGGATGTTCGGTTCAATATGGATGGCCTGTTAGTTCCCCTGAATCTGGTGAGCGTAGTGACGTGGCAATAAAGCGGGAAGTCTGAAACCAAATCTTGCAGGTCTGCTTTGAACTGCTCTCCTGGTGTGGCCTAGAATTCTAGAGCATGTAAGTTAAAGCCGTCGGTGACTAGAATGTGACTGCACTTCCTGTTTATTAGTTGCCTAAACGCAGCCACCAAGTTGCAGGCCGTCTCAGAACTAGACGATGGTGTGCGGTAAACAACAACCAATAGGCCAAAATCGTTCCCTCTCAGCCAGATACTACACCAAATGGAGTCAGGTACGTCGGTTTCCGAATTGTTTATGGGTTCGCATTGCAGGTTGTTACGAAAGTAGAGGGCTTCAACACCGCCTTTGCTGGCTCGATCCCTCTGGACAACGGACATGCCTGTTAACGCGATTTCAGCATACATTATCTCACAGTGCAACCACGTTACAGTGACAACGATGAGGTCCCAAGCTGCTGTCGCGTGTCGAAGTCTTAATTCAGCTAATTTGCTGAGTAGATCTTGGGCATTTGTGTACATGCATGAGAGCTTCTCGGAGACCAAAAGTGTGTTCGATTGGATGGATGAAGCAAGTGAGTTTACGCCTACCAATAAAAGGTCGGCGACTAATCGCTTTTTTGTATGG